GTTTGTGTAGGGTATAGGCAAGATTCTTTTCCAATTCTCTCTTGGCACGCCCGACTGATATCTTTTGAGTCTTGGCATACTCTGAGACACTCCTCAGATTACCCAACACCCCAGGCGTAGAATAATCCAATAAGACTTTCTTCTTATAATCTTGATCGTCCGAGTCCTCAACATTCTTCTTCTTCCCAGAGCGTTCCATCTTCTTAGACATAGCAACTTGAGGTAGAGGATGTAGGCGTAGTAGCATGACTTGATTCCTCAGGATTAGAAACCGTTTCTCGCCGTCCGTCAGTTCGTTGTTGTCTTCCTCATCCATCATGTCCCGGATGTAAGCTTTGGCATAGCGTACCACTCGTCTCAAGGAATCCTCGTCCGCTCGGTGCTGCATAATATCCATCATGTCTTCTAGGTACAAGGCTGCCCATTTGGGATTAACTTCCAGGTCTCCATTCATGTTGTTCATTCGTTTGTCTCTCCTACCAATGAGTAATGAGTCCCTTCAAAAAAGCCTACCTTCTTATAACCACTACAATCTTGGTACCAGTACCCTTCTAGTAGGACTAGGGGATACCCCCCTCCCCCTACACCACTTACTAAGTCCTAATATGAAGGTGCTTCCCAATATGGTGTGATGACGTAGAACTCAGTATATAAGTATAGTCTCCTTCCCAGTATTCCTCTTCTGCCTCAGTCAACATGGAAGCAGGACCACCAGACTTTGGAAGCTTCGTACAAGAAGTGGATGATGAAACTCTACTAGCTGCGGCTAGGAACGAAGAAGGCGAGAATGAATTTGTAGAAGACGTGGCGGACGTCATATTGAACGAGGTAAGTGAAGCTTTTGATTGTCAATTTTCCTATCAATCTCAACTGGGGGGCGCAGCCCTTTCCTCTTCCGCTCCTCCCGGTTCTTTCGAATTTCTTTTGGATCCTTTTGTGGATCGCAGGAGTGAACGCATGGGAGTGGGAGAGCGACACTACACCACGCGTCTGAGACAACGCCGTGCATTTATTCCTTCCCAGCATGTACCTTCGGCTCTTACCGAAGCCCTGCATGCTGCCGTCCGTCATCTCATCGAACAAGACCATGTCCTGGCCCAAGATCGCGTGTACCTGGGACTATCAAGTAATCGACTATCCCACGCTTACAATTATCGCGGTCTGACGGCCGACAAATGGCTTCGAGGTGGGACACGGGTGGACACCCTTCTGCAACAAATGAGCGCCATGCTCAACTCCAACGAACAGTTCGAAATGGATGATTCCTTCCAACTCTCCTTCACGCACGTGCACGCGCCTCCGACGGGTTCCGGTCGCAAACGCAAGTTGAAACCCAGCCATTCTGCCTTGACATCCTTCAAGAAAAAGAAGCTGTCCGTGCTCCTCATCAAGAACGGAGACGAGCTTTGTTGCGCCTGAGCCATCGTCACGGCCAAAGCCAGACTTGACCAACACCCCAACTGGGACAGGTTCAAAAGAGGCAGAAGGATCCAAGCAGAACATGCAGTAGACCTTCATCACGAAACGAGAGTTCCCCGAGGACCATGTAGGTACGACGAACTCCGAGCCTTCTCTCTACGACTACCAAATTCTTCTCTGCGATGCCATGCGCGAGTATGTCGGGATATCGTTTGGCCCACCTTCACAAAAGCAGCTCGTCCTCCTCTACAACGACGGCCATTACAACGTCATCACTTCTCTACCCGGATTCTTTGGCACCTCCTACTTCTGCACGAAGTGTCTCAAACCCTATGACAACCAAGGTCACCACGCCTGCGACAACAACCCAGACCACTGCAGTGCCTGTCTCCAGACTGGATGCCCGGACTACACCAAGGCCCAAGGCCGGTGTGGCTACGTCACGTGTCCTTCCTGTCACCATTACGTCGAAGCCTTGTTGCATCGATGCTTCATTCAAGTGGCTAAGACTCCCGAGGAAGAACGGGCGGAACGTCGCGCCAAACGAAGACCTGGTCGTCGTCTGCGTGGTGCTACTGCCGGCTTGGCCACCGTGCACTCCAACGAGGACGATGTGCCCTCCACTTCTCTTCTTCCTTCACCTCCTGTGGATGGTGTCGACCTCAATGACGAAAAACCTCTGTTACACGTATTCTTCGACGTGGAGGCCATGCAGGACACGGGACGTCACGTTCCGAATCTTGTCGTGGCCGAAGCCTAGAAGGACGAGTGTCCAGTCCGCTTCTGGGGAGACTCGTGCATGCGCGACTTCTTGGAGTGGCTGGACACGTAGACGGATGAGGACAGCCGAGAGGTCAAGGTGTTGGCCCACAATTTCCAAGGGTACGACGGTTACTTTGTCGTCGAAGAGTACCATTGTCAACACCGCATTGTCCGGCAAAGAGGAACGGTGCCAAGTTGTTGCAGGTCACCTTTGATTGCATCACCTTTATAGATTCTCTCTCCTTCTTCCAAATGCCGCTCTCGGCCTTTCCCAAGACGTTTGGTCTCACCGAACTCAAAAAGGGGTATTTTCCGCATCTCTTCAACACCCTTTCTAATCAATCATACATCGGACGCATTCCTGACACTTCCTACTTCATGCCAGACTGTGGCATACTCGACAACGTGTGGCCAACGTCATCTACGACTTCCAAAAGGAGTTGACTGAATACTGCGAGCCTGATGTCAAACTACTTAAGCAGGGGTGTCTCTCCTTCAAGTCTGTATTCGAGCCTCTGGCTCGCTTCAATCCCTTTTCCCACATCACCACCGCCTCTGCTTGCAACCGGGATCTCCGTCAGAACCGCATGGAAGCTGACACGATCACCAATGAACCGTTCCACGGGTGGCGCTTAAACACCAATCATTCTCGTGTCGCCCTGGAATGGCTCCACTGGCAACAGCACCAGTTAGCGGATGAAGACGATTACATCCAACATGCGGGCAATTTTGGCGAGTACCGGATTCCCCATTCCCAGTACACAGTAGACAGATACCATGAGAAAACCAACACTGTCTACGAGTTCCAAGGCTGCTTTTGGCATGGTTGTCCGGTCTGCTATTCCAATCACACCGAATCCCACCGCCACCTCGACGATAGGTGCTTTGACGACGTGTACCGTTGCGCGCAAGTCAAACTCGACTTACTGCATAATCGAGGTTTCAGGGTAGTCAAAATTTGGGAGTGTCAATCGAATTGGACCCGGAAAGGATCGAGAAAAATCCCGGACTGCGTACGCTGGCCAAGATGATGTTAAACTCCATGTGGGGTAATATTGGTCAGTGTACCAACAAGACACAAGTCCGGGAATTTGACGACCCCCAAAAGTTTTCCACCTTCTGTAACAGCGACACCCTCCAAATCAAGTACGTTGGTATACAATCAGACGATCGCGTGGAAGTACAGTACACTTTACAAGAGGAAGACGAATCCATCTCACCCAACCTGAACATATTCGTGGCCTGTTTCACGACCTGTTGGGCTCGTCTTAAACTCTATGACGCTCTGGACATCTTACAAGAACGAGTACTGTACAAAGACACAGACTCAGTCGTGTTCCTTTCCGCCCAGAGAATGCCCGAGCCACCACTGGGAGATTATCTGGGGGACTTTAAGGATGAATTGCCGCCAGACGACTATATAGTGGAATTTGCCTCCGGAGGTCCAACAAACTACGGGTACAAGACCCACAAAGGTAAAGAGGACTGTAAAGTCCGAGGCATCACACTCAATAGTCTGGGGAAAAGATACGTCAAATTTGAAGTCCATAAAACAACGTGCTGGAAGACTTGACTTCCCCACTGGAGTCTGGCAAAGCGCGCGTCACCACCGTGCCCATACCATTCATAATCGTGAGGAACGCCCAAGAATACCAATTGTCCACCACGGCCCAACAAAAATTGATGACGTCATAGGTCAGGTTGTTATGGTGATAATGATGACGTCATAGGATAAAAAATCAATACTCCTAACTAGAACTGATGACGTCATAAGTCAGGCTGTTATGGTGATAGTGAAGACGTCATAGGATCAAAAAATCCATTCTCCTAGCTAGAATTCGAAAAAATCAGCCCTAAGTGATCGGATACCACTACTGACATTGTACGTGGACGCACACCTGGCGACGCTTGAAGTTGGAAAAGATAATCTTTAATAATGTGCAGTTAGATTTTTTAGCCCGTCACGATCCTACACTCGAACCGCATTTTTACGGAACTGTACCCTGCAATAAGTTACCTAGACATCCTCAGAAAGACAGATCTGTGGGATACATTGTAAACACAGATCCGCATGATCAACCTGGAAGACACTGGATAGCACTTTGGAGAACCCTGGAAAACGTGTGTGAAATTTTTGATAGTTATGCGTTACCATTACAAGTGTATGAAACCACTCAGCCGTTGATCGATTGGATCAACACACATTGAAAACACGTCGTGCGATCGTCCAAGAGTTTACAGTCTCTTTACAGTCAGAGTTGCGGAGATTACGCCTTGATGTATTTGAGACAAAGCTAGATGAAAAGACATGAGTAAATTTTTCAAACTGTTTTCTAGACATGATTTCGTAACCAACGATCATAAAGTAGGTCAAATGTTAAAAAAGCTAATAGAAAAAGAGATTTCACAAGAAGAACTTTGTATGACCTCAGGCAGACTGGCATCAAACTTGTAAACGTATTTTTGGAAAAAGTCCGTCCGAAGGCTATAGGTTCAAATCCTATCCCAGTCACACTTCTTTTACGAGTTGAGTACCGTGCATGTACATTTTTTAAAATTTTTTACTATTTTATTTTATTATTTTATTTTATTTATTTTATTATTTATTTTATTATTTATTTAATTATTTATTTAATTATTTATTTATGTTTTTTCAAAATCTCGGTATGGGATGATTGCTGAACATGTGCAGCGTAACGTTTACATCTCTAAGGATGACAAGTTTTCTTTTCAAAAACGAAATAAATAAAAAAATGATTTTAAAAAATAATAAACAAATAAATTTAAAAATAAATAAATAAAAATAAACACGTAAAATTTGCCGTGACCAGGATTTGAACCTGGGTTACTGCGGCCACAACGCAGTGTCCTAACCACTAGACGATCAGGGCAATGTTCAATGGTAGGTGAAAATTAAACATATTTATTTGATCCTTTGTTTCACATCTTTTGTCTCTATAATAACCACTGTCATCTGTAGCTTTGTATCAAAATCATGGAAGGTGCGGTATTGTTCAAGTTTAAGTCTCCTTCCAGTATTTTAATCGTAGGACCTTCAGGTTGGGGCAAAACTTGTTTCACCGAATCTTTGTTAGTACATGATTTATCCGATTTGTTTGCGCAGCCACCTACCGCTATAGTGTATTGTTATGGAGCATGGCAAGACAATTTGATCGTATGAAACACACGGGTATAAAATTTCACGAAAGAGTCCCCGATGTATCACATCTACAAAAATGGTTTACAGCGAAAGGAGGTATTTTGGTTTTGGATGATTTAATGGCTGAAGGTGGTAATGAAAAAGAAGTCATGGATTTGTTTACCAAACGTTCTCATCACCAAAACATTACCGTTCTTTATCTCTGTCAAGATATGTTTCCACCTGGTAAATACGCCAAGACCATTACTCGTAATTCGCATTACATTGTGGCTTTCAAGAATCCTCGCGATCAATTGAGTTTGCGTAATATCTTATTACAAGCCTATCTTCAAACATGAAAAAGAAACCGAGCGACCGTTTGTATATTTGACGGTCGATTTTCATCTGGCCAGTCATGATGGGTTTCGCATTGTGAACCGCTTATTAAAGCATGAAGGCTGTATGCGATGTTTCATTTTACCTCCGCATACACACCTGTAAAGGTCACAGGCTATGAAAAAGAAAAGAGGAGGGCAACGTATTGTGAAGAGAGGTGGATTTGCTCCGGCAGTAGCGGCTGTACCGGCTATAAAAGCTTTGGTGACTTCAGCCGTAATCAAAAAGCTTGGAAAGAAGGCAGCTGTTGCCTTAGGTCACTTTGTTTTGAAAAAAGGAATGAAGAAGTTATGGTCAAAGAAGCTAAAGACGGGGAAGAAGTGAGTGAAACATGAAACGACTTTTGAGACATAGAGCTTTCTTGCTCTCTATTTTACGAGAGGGAAATCGAAACAAACGTCATGACTTGATTCAACACGCCAACGGGGAACAAATCAATACTGTCAGTGAATTGGTATTTAACATGTTAAAAAATTGTGTTCCGGTGTCACCACCGCTCATGGCTAAATTGAGAAGACACAAAAAGGTGCTCAAAGAACTGAGTAGGAGAAAAAATTCTATAAAAAAAGAGATGACTTCATTTGATGAATCAGAAAGGCTCTGGCTTTTGGCAAGGTCTACACGAAGCGTACTGTAACTGTTTTCAATCATGAGTTGTCAGACTTAGAGTGCTCTGACGCATTTGTTAACCGAGGTTAACGAATCGGTACAAGAATGGAAAGAGAATAGTCATAAAATGGAAAAGAATCGCGACTATTGGCGTAAGAGGGCTATGGATCTCGAAGACAAATTTTATTGCAAACAATGTCTGAGTCAACAGAAAGAGGTGGAAGATTTAAACGACGCCAAAGTCAAACGCAAGACGGAATTGGATTGGTTAAGAGAAGGCAAAGAGGCCGCTTTACAAAAACCCTTGAGAAGACAACTGGACAAAGACTATGAGGAGTTCTCGGAAAACAAGAACCAAAAGGAAGGCTCCACCGAAAAAAGGGCAGAGAGGAGGCAAATTTGACATTCAAAACTGGATTGCAAAATTAGGAGTGGAATTTCATCCTTATTCTTTATGTAATGTTTAAAAAACGAGCAGGAGTGTTTTATCGGGTTTAAAACCACGAGGCGTAGCCGAGTGGTTTTTGACCCGATAAAACACGTGCTGCGAGTTTTTTGAACGGCTTCAGAAACATTCTTGTGTCAAGAGAGTTCATAACAATTATGCTTTTGTGAACGTTAGAAATTAGCATACGAGAAAAACATTAGGTCTAATATGCCTTTACCAGATTACTGTACTAATGGAATAGGGAATTTTTCCAGATGTGTATTTCACAACTGTACTATTAATTTGATGCAAAAGTAAATTTACTGTGTGAAATTTGTTGAAAGAACATTAAATATGTTCCCACCATTTGTTGTGTCAGTTTCTGTTTTGATAATTAAGTAATATTCATAAGTCACGTGCAGTGTCTTTATATCTGATAAAACACCGCATACTAATAAGGATGAGGTTTATCGATATAAAGTCACTGCACGTGATGTATTATCTACCATTTGATAGGTTAATGGGCTTATGAATTATTAATGAGTTTTTTAACTAAAAAGAGACGTTATCAATTCTTAGGACCAGGTACATTTTTGAAAAAACGCCTGGATCGAGGGGATCAGGGCATCAATCGTTTGGATTGCATTGCCAGACAGCACGACATTGACTACTCTATGGCCACGAGTCTAGAGGATAAATGGAAAGCCGATGATAAGATGGTAGAGGCCTTGAAGGTGATAGAGCCAGACGTGACGGAAAGGACTTTGATGCCGACACAGACTTGATTTTCCACCAGACGATGTTGATTGTACAGTTCTTGTAGGATAAACATACCGTCATAACCTATCAGGTTGTGAAACATGACAATGACAGGTCTTTCGAATTCGTCTTCATTGATAGCCGATTGATCTAGAAATTCTATAAAGTCCTGAGAACAGCGTTCGCCGTGAAATACATGTGTATGGTTCTCCTGATTGGTTTCGCAACATACTATAATAGGTTGGTGTTCACCGTCGGCTGACTTCTTCAGCAGGTTGAATGAAAAATTTGTGGGTTCTGATATCTACGTCTTCTTGGCATACGGGACATTGAGTGACACCGCATTGGTGTGTTTTTCCTCCTTTGTTTTTCTTATTCCGGGGGTGTTCAATGATTTTGCTTTTGAAAATGTCACACATGGTTTTCACACATGCATTGAGTGATTGAAACGCCGACATTATCATCTGGTGAAGGTTGGCGTAATTCTTTTAAGCGTGCTGTAAATCGTTGTTTTGCCACCACATTTTTCTTCCAACGTTTACACGGCCCCACAGTCCGAAACTCGAATTCAAAGAGCAGTGATTCGATATGTTTCACAGCCTTCAACAATTTCTCGCCACTCATTTCATTAACCATTTTCGACTCGATGTTTTCTACAACCTTTAATAACTCTTCATCACTCAACTCTTCAACAAATTTTCTCTTTGCCATGATGATGTTCTCTCACACGCATGTTTGAAATAAATTGTGCGTTTAGAATGTTTTTTGTGGAAATCAAAGATGAATACTCAGGGGAATAAAGGGTTTCTTTTGTATTAGCAGGGCAAGTTTGAGCAAGGGAGGGCCTGTATGGGAAAGATTGCGAAAATGTTTTCACTTGGAAAAATGGTTGCGAGGGGTTTACATACACACGCATAAACGCACTTATACTCACTCAAATAATTAATCAACAATTGTATTATGCACAACAAAATATTCAGCCAAGAGTCCGAACGTGACCGACGCTTCGTACAGCTTTCATATTTGTTTCTTTATCAAAATAAAACTCACCTTTAAATAGCATGGACCTTTTCCTTAATTGAATAAAAGAGGCAATATTGTTACCTTTGAATAGCATGGACTCTTTCTTTAACTGACTAAAAGAGACTGTATTGATTAAGCAAAGAGTTGTTCCTTCCATCCTCCATTACAACTTGTTGCTATGTTGAAGAAAAGAATTGTGATAATGAATGGTGCTAGTGAATTTTCAGATAGCAAGTATCTCATAGTATGAATATCGTTTCAAAGTAAAAAAGCACCTAAAAAACAAGTTTTGTGATTACAATTTCAAATGTTTCTTAGTTGTATACTGTAATGCGCTGTTAGTTTCTTAATTAACTTACCTTTGAATAGCAAGGACTCTTCCTTTAATTGAGCGAAAGAGGCTGTATCGATTAAGCATCGTTGTTCTTTCCTTCATTGTAAAGTGTATTCAAAGAAACTTACCTTCTAATAACATGGACCTTTGATCAGGCAAAGAGCCCGAACGTGACAGACTCTCAAGCAGAAAAGACCCTTTGGAATCAAACAGACGCTTACACACATACAGGTTCACCCATCCACACCGTGTGAAATTTACAAAACGCTCAAGAAAAAGGCCTTTGGGAACAAACAGACGCTTACACACACACGCAGTGTGATATTCACAAAAGCTCAAGAAAAAGGTCCTTTGGGATTTTGACCGAACATAAAAGAACGTTTCGTGGACGAAGAATTTAATCACATTTCATTGATGATGTAACGCCCTTCGCTGATTTTTTGGAAATACTGATATATAAATTTTGTTTTTTGCAAAATGATTGGAGTGAGAGCACCTCACGGTAAGTTCATGTCGTACTCGAATTTTTTTCCGTTTTCATAATCGTCAATTAGTGAAGTATGAAAAGACCTAAGTCTCACGTTATTTCTTTCAGGAACCGAAGATCGAGCCTGCACTATTTGTGTAATTGGTTGTGATGAAGAAACGCCCTGCTGCAAGTAGGTGATTCACACCTCTTGTTTGATGGACTGGTACCAGTCACAGCAGCAAAGGCACCTATGGCCTTCTTGTCCATTTTGTAGAGCAGAACCTCCGATGACAGTCTTAGAAGCCTTAGCCAACAGGCATGAAAGAGTCCTGCCTCCAGAAAGGAGGCAATTCAATTGGGTGGCAGCCCATCGCCACAATGCCTATCTTCATTACGTGTGGAATGAAAGAATCCCTGCTGAAAGAGACGCTTTCTTCCTTCAATTTATCCAGGAAAGAATGCCGGAGAACGTTATGTTGGTACGAGCTGATAGTAGATTGTATCTGGCCACGATTCATCGAGATGAGAATCGTAGAGTCTTGAGATTCTTGGCCCAAAACAAACGTAAATCCATTCAAAGGTTTCGATTTGTCTTAGAAAATTTACTGGCCATTGCTTAGGTTTTTTTTTTTTTTTTTCCGTCGTTGCTAAGGTTTTTCTTTTGCCCTTGCCTTTTTCCTTGCTTGCTGTAAATCTCGTTTAGGTTTTTTCTTTCGCCCTTGTTTTTGTAATTAA